AAGTTCTTAGTATTGTTATCAGTCGTTATTCGTATGAATTTTAAGGGTGATCGCTGTTATTATCGTTTTTATTGCCAGCATTATTATTTTCGTGTTCTTATTGTATTCGTTTCCAATAATGGTCAATTGCGAAATTTTATGGTTCCATAAGCTAAGCACTGTGCTATCCGACGGATCTAGCGATTGAAACGCATATAGGATTAATTATCATCTGAAGTGATGACATCTATTCGTTCTTTTGCAACGTTTCCAAAGTTATGTATTAAAGTAGACATGAATTGTTGCTTGAAAGCGATTAGTTGCTGAGATCGGAGTTTTCAGAGTATTACGATCTGTGATCAGTTCATGAGCAGTCGATGATCCATTGAGTTTTATCATTCTCTACTTCAGTCATCAATGATCATTGTCAAAATCATGATATAACATATTACTAATATCGGATTATTCCCTTCATGATGTGTTTGTCAATTTCAGTCACATTCGTTCATAATGCAATTGGTGAGCAGACGGCCAATAGAAGCAGTCATCAATGAAATCTTTATGCAGAGCCAAAGGTTCATTCAGAGTCCGATCGTCGCCCGAGATAAACGTAACTCTTTTGAATTGCTTTTCATTGTATTGACAAAGAGCTGTCAAATGATGTCCTCCTAATCGAAATAAAATACACCCCGGATTGCANCGCATTCGGATATTGTATCACATTTTATGAGTTGTTCCAGTTAATAGGAAGCCCATTTGAAACAGTCATAAAACGGTACTTGTTTATAAGGATTAAAGAAATTGTTTCGTGGTGTTTGAACAGTTCTCGAGAACGATCTCTCTCGCACACGTCAGCCACTCTTTATTCTTGCCATTGTTTGACGTCACTACAGAAATCCTCAAAATCAAACCAACTCATCGTTCTATAGCGCCGTCCGAGCAAATAAAACGTTGCTTACGCATCAAAGATTCGGCTCATTTCCCAATACAACAAACTGATTGAACATTCGATGTTGATTTTGTAATGACTATCGTCATTGCTGGCAAATGCGAATGACGTTTTTGAATTGTTTATGATCTGGTTGAGAGATATTTCGATTAATTCCATTGAAATTTCATAGAAACATTTTTTTATTTCAGCAATTCCTTCGTTCGTTCCACCAAAAAGCTTTCATAGAAACCAATGCTTTTTCTAGTGATTCGTCACATGCTTTCTCATTCCGGCACACCCACTTCATCTAATTGCTATAAAGATTCCCCTTCGTTCCTTAGATTAGCCAAACGTTTTTGATGCGAAATGTTCTCCATATGATCGTTTCTGCGAAAATTATCCAAACTGAAGTTGTTTTTTT